GGGCAGCACCAACAAGAGAATCTTGCAATGACCTGCTATGATGTCATTCAAAGTTCTAAAAAGCCACAGCTCTGGAACTCTCTCCCCAAGGATATCAGAGAGCCCCCTTCTCTAAACTCAAAACCTTTATTTAACTGGTAAAGGCTCTTCTAAACTTCTTTACCCCTTGCTCCTACTGTATTTAGCCCCCCCCATCTACCATCTATCGCATTGTGCATTTGTTATTGTTGTCATTATTCTGTAAAACACTTCGAGAGGCCACCTTTAAAGGCGCTATAGAAAATAGTTTATTAGTCATATTTTACACAGCCTAAAATATTAGAACCCTTCCCTGCATTGAACAGAGATCAACTCCGTCGTGTGCAACAACAGCTCCCGTCTCCCATTAAGAAACACCAGCCGCGCACGGTTCTGACCACTTCCTGCACGAAGGGAAATGTAAAACGGTAACAACTCAAGCCAGTGCGATCTGCAACAGCAGCTTCAACAGGTGGGCCACATCCCGAGTCCCACAGAGGATTTTCGGAAAGATCGGCAGCCCCAGCCCCATCCCGTTTTTCTAACGGGATCACCTCCGGCAGCACCTCTGACCTGACTGACCTGCAGAGTCGTTCCTCAAGCCCAGTCACTCATTGTAACTTCAGCTGGGGACTAGGAGCAGGCCTCTGGTGTTTTGGTCAGTGAGCACTTACTGTGCACTGTATTTGTATACAATACTCAGCTCACCAGAAGGGAATCAGGCAAAATTAGGGGGTCCTCTATGCCTCCCCTCGTGCTTTGCAGCCCCAGTCTCTTGCAACCTGGCCTGAACTTCACTTCTCAGCTGAAGGGCAGAAGCACAAGGAAGCTCACAAACTCTCTCAGCGGGGTGCATGTTGCACCAGCGGATTTGAGCTGGGAACCCCCTGGACAGGGGGACAAGTCCTAGTCATTATCAGTGGGCGCAGATATAGGAAGCTTTTGCTCAACCACAGCTCAAGAACAGCTTTCGCAAGTCAGGATTTTGCAGTCTGTCTGGGTGTGTGGATACAACGATTTTTCTGCCCAGGAGGCCCTAAAAGTCTCTCTCTCCCCCCCCCTACATCCTGACGGGCTGCGGACCCCCGCGGGACTAAACCCAGCGAAAAGCCCCACCTGTCCCCCCTCGCCACCTGCCCCAGCCCGCCAGCCCCCGCGCCACTCTCTGACGTAGTCAGCGATACCCAGAGTGAGAAAGCGAAAATTAATCCTTGCGAAGGTGAGAAAGGAGAAGGAAAAAAAGCTTGTCTCTCCCCACCCGACTCTGCCGTCAGTTTGAAAGGTGGCGATGAGAAATGGCGAGAATCCTTCCTCTCTTAGCGGGTTTCAAAATGCAGCGAGCTAGGCTTCAGGATCAGAGCAGCTCCTCTGCCGTCTCGCGGGGATCAACACAGGTCTTCCATTTCATTTCCTAGCCCGAGTCCTCGTGCTTGCCAAGCTCGGGCATCTCCTCAAACACAAGCACATCAGCCAGCTCCCCTCCAAGACCACAGGAAGTGCGATTACTCGAAAGCAGAGATGAAGTGGGAAAGACTTCCGTTATCTGACCCGCACCCCTGGGGCACCCCAGGGCACTCCCGGTGAACAGCCTGCTTCCTCTCCTCGGCTCGCCCGACCGGTCGCTTCAGCTCGCGCTGGCTCAGGTGCAGAGGAGGTTATAATAACCTCCCCCATTAAGAAACACCAGCCACGGTTCTGACCACTTCCTGCACGAAGGGAAATGTAAAACGGTAACAACTCAAGCCAAAGAAAAGTGGAAGGGACCTCCCTTCTGCCATCTGGTTCTGATGTCGGCGGTTTCCGTGCCGAGAGCCCACAGGGGGCGACTGACGGCCGAGCGCGGGGTGCAGGAGGAGTCAGGTCTGCCGGGCCACGCACCGCATGGTTATCTGCAGCTAGGTACAGCCACCGGCCAAAATATTAGAGCCTCCCCCTACACTCAGCAGAGTTCACCTTTGGTCAAGTGGAAGAACAGGTGGGCCACATTACAGTGCAGGTTCATGACAGCACCGTAAGTTACTGATAAGTGCTGGATACCTCATGTGCATCTCACAGGAACAGAGCTACAGAGCTAAACCTGCACTAGAAATACAGATGGCCCCAAAACTGTATGCGTACAAGTGAACTGCATCGATGATGGTCTTATTAGCACAAAACTGACAAGGGGGAGGGTTTAAAGTCATTATTTCCATGAACTGACATTCCATTACGAATCATTTATTACGAGGGATGGATACCTGCAGTGCTCAAGGTGTGCATTATAATCATTTCAATTGTGATCTGAATTACCCAACTGAGCTCATTTAGAGAAGCCACATCACCGGCTGCATCTCCAAGGACTAAAGCTGACAATCCCTGCTCTCAATACCTCATTTTCAGAGCTTGTTTTCCAGACACGAGGGCTGCTGATGCAAAGTCCACTGAGGTGCATGATTCACATTCTGACTAATGATGGGACATCCACCCCTGTGCAGCTGTCCTGTCTGCTCCAGTACTGGCCCCTTCACTCTGGCTGCAGCCCCTCCCTCCTCCCGGTTGGCATGACGACGCGGCTGCGTCCATTATTTATTATTCACATGTGCTGGTGGACTCAACAGGCAGGCAGTTCGGCGCACAGGTGAGAAAGGGCCCCTTGCTGGACACAAGCAGAAGAAAACCGTCAAGCGGCAGGCAAACTATGCTGACAAAACGCGGCGCAGGAAATGAGCCCCATTCAGCGGGGTGGTCGTTCATGCCACACCTGGAATTAAACCTGCCTGGCTCATGTGCACGAGGTAACTTGGCCTTCCTGACCCTTTCCAGGAGTAAACAACAACGCAGCGTTAAGGCTGCATCCCAGTTTGCTCTCCTAACATTGGTTTAGCTTCTTTTCATGACTGCTGAAACGTCCAAGACTCTTCTCAATGCAACACCTAGCTGTGCAGTGGAGCAGCTGCAGCATGAGAAATTGCAAGCCAGGACCACACTTTAGCCTATATTCTTTTTGCCTGGCTTCTCTTAGATTGACACAAAAGCTGACAACGGAGATAGCCTTGCTCTTTAAACCCAAACCAATGCGCCACCTTACACTACTCCAGGCAGAAGCACTGGGCCTCAGGAGGCACAATGCCAGAAAACGCCAGCTGGACAACAGAAGGCCATAGTATTAGCTAGGGCCAGAGGGGAAGTCGTCATTCTTGACAGCACTCTCACTGCTCTGGTGCGGGGCTCAGTGTTCG